CCCCCCCCCACCGCCACCCCGGGCCAGGGTGGGGATTTGACTTTGACCTTGTTCTAATATTCGCAAATGCCCCACATCATGGGGAGCATCAAAGGTTCCGCATGTCAAAAAATGTCCCCTGTACCTGGGGCCTAAGCCCAGAAATTAAGACTTTTTAATTAAATACTGCTAAAACAGTTCAAGTCAAATAACTAGGGTACCTGCAAGGTAGGGATTGCTGCGGGCATTAAAAACCAATAGAAGTACAGAAAATAGCGCACAATCGCACATTATATATCAAGCACAGTTATTACTCACAGCAACTAATCAGGGGTTAAAGGGCAATCACAGGTGACAGATATTAAACATGTGCGTCTCATTGACATACAGGTAAATTAATTATATGACACAAGTTTTTGCTGTCAGATTTCATATCAAGTCTGTTTACTGCTAAGGCGCATTTACCACATTATGTAGACTATATATACACAGATGCATTACACCATAAAAATATAGAACTGTCAGTGGCCAAAGTCCATTGAGTGATCAACGTACGAATCAATGCAAAAATAACGAAAATTAGAACACCGAATCGTTTTGAAAACTTGTGCAAGGGTGGGTTGACTACAAAATTTTTGTAGTTCGCTATAACTACAGCTACTTCAAAAATACGTAGTCAGCTACAACTACTGCTACATTTGAACAAAGGTAGTTCGCTACTGACTACAGCTACTGCTTAAAAAATGTAGCGAACTATTTCGCTATTTCGCTACTCTATATTTTTTAGTTTTACGGTATTTGGAGCATCCACTAGCTCAGGCTGCAATACAGCCTATAACAAATCGACTTACGAGTAGCAACAGTAAACAAAAAGGCTCAAAGCAACATTTTTATAAGCACTATACAGTGTTCAGGAGTGCCACTTTTCATTGCGCTAAAATTTAATCTTTACTGTATAAAATAATCTTTTAAGCAAACCGTGTCTTATCATCATTCTATTCTATGGACGGTTGCTAACAATTTTAAAAAGTAGCGAATAGCGATTCACTGTTTGAAATGTAGTCGACTATTTGGCTACTTTTAGGCAAAATGTAGTTCGCTACAACTACAACTACTGTTTTACCAAAGTAGTCAAAAACTACTGGCTATTTGAAAATTGTAGTTCGCTAAGTAGCGAACTACAACTACTTCGCTACTACCCACCCTTGAACTTGTGCTAAGCCGGACTGCCGAAGCGAAGGCCTTTCAATGCTTCCACATATTCATGAAACATCACTTGATGCAAAATATGTCCACTTTTGAAGATCCGCTAGAAATATTGATGGCTACGTGGCTACGTAGTGAGTTTTAATTGCGCATGTGTAGTGAGGTGACACGGATTTATGAAAACTGCGCATACAAATGCGCACGACCACAATTCCATGCGACGCTAAAAATCTACTTTTTTACTGCCTACCGAACAAATTAGGCTGCTGCTTCGCTCGCTCGCTTCAGGCTCGCTCGCTCCGCAGCAATTATGTATGGACTGCAATGAACTGCTATAGATTGTATTCTTGAGATGGATAGCTTGCAAAATATTGATTATTTATAATTTATTTAAGACTCCTTATCCTTTATTTATAATTTATTTAAGATATTCCTTATCCTCATGGTTTATATTCTAAAGAACAGAGGGTCAAAATCTGCATTACAAATTTAGCGATTTAAATAAAATCTACATACTATTGTTCCCAGTAAACTGCGAAACGACGTTTTTACGAAGGACATATTTGTGTACCTCGTGATCACAATTCGTTGCAAGCGGCGTGTGAAAAACTGCAAGTTTCAGTTTGACAGTTCTGACAGTTAAATGAGTTTCTAATTTTATTGTCCAATCAGATGCGTAGTTTTGAATTTTAAATCAAAACTACGCACCTGAATGGACAATAAAATTAGAAAGCATTAGAAACCAGAACTGTCAAACTGAAACTTGCAGTTTTTCACACGCCGCTTGCAACGAATTGTGATCACGAGGTACACAAATATGTCCTTCGTAATTGACAAAACTGTCACTGACAAACCGCCTAAAACAACGGTCGTTTCGCAGTTTACTGGGAACAATAGTACCTGTAAATGTTGAAAAGCACAAAAGCACACGAAGCAAAGATAATAAGCGCTAGATGATAAAACGCCACTTGAGATGAACAACCGCTGAAAAATCGACAACTGGCTCATTACTAATCCCTACCCAATCCTCATAACCTGGGGATAAATAAATTCTAAAAGCTTCAAATCCCCCACCCTCTTGGGAGTGTTTTTGGGCTAGTATACCAAAGGTCGTAGGTTCGATTCCCACCGTGGCCAGGCATATTTTTCAAGCCTGCCCGGTGTGGATATACACTCAGAGTAACATCACAAGCATCTTATACACCTGAGTACATTACACCAAAACAGCAAATATCATGATTATTAGATTACACTGATATCGAAGGAACTAGACTCAGTTCCAAAATATTACATGCTCGAACCGACCTGACCGCGTAGCTCATTTGGCAGAGCATTGCGCTAGTATTCCAAAAGCCGTAGGTTCGATTCCCACCGTTGCCAGGCATATTTTTCAAGCCTGCCCGGTGTGGATATACACTCAGAGTAACATCACAAGCATCTTATTCACCTGAGTACATTACACCAAAACAGCAAATATCATGATTATTAGATTACACTGATATCGAAGGAACTAGACTCAGTTCCAAAATATTACATGCTCGAACCGACCTGACCGCGTAGCTCATTTGGCAGAGCATTGCCCTAGTATTCCAAAGGTCGTAGGTTCGATTCCCACCGTGGCCAGGCATATTTTTCAAGCTTGCCCGGTGTGGACATACACTCAGAGTAACATCACAAGCATCTTATTCACCTGAGTACATTACACCAAAACAGCAAATATCAAACAGGACATCGTTACCATGAAATAAAAATAAAGACGTTTTATAAAACATACTTGGTTCCGCTGTTGTCACTGGTACAGTGAAGTTGATTTTGTTTTTATTTGTGAAGATTTAGGTTCGCTGGAGGTTAATGTTGCCTCTGTTGGTTTAGAGACGTCTGTTGGCTGAGTTGTTGCTATATAAAGGAGAAAATACGAAGAAGAAAACACAAAGCAATGATAACCGAAGACGAATCACAGGTTATATATAATACGACAGCTCATGATACCGTATATTTACAATATCCTAACCGCTTAACCATAGGCGTACCGGGCGGGGGGGGGGGGTAGGCCCCCCAGTTTTTTGGGCAGTCGGGCAATATTCGAGCAACAGTCGGGCAACTTTTGTTACTAATAAAAATAAATGGGACAAATTCTCTCAATTTTGTCGGAAATTCAGTCAATTTTTTTGGTCAATTTTGTATTGTCGAAAAATTTTGGTATGTCCGGAAAAAATTTTTGAGCCCTAAAATGGTACACTGACCGAAATTTTTTTGGCGAAGGGGGGGGGGGAGGTCGCCGAAACAATTTTTCCGGGAAAAATTTTTTCGGTACTAGTCGGGCAAAATCCCGAAAAGTCGGGCAAATTTGTTTCCGCCCCCTAATTTTTTCCTTCCGGTACGCCCATGCGCTTAACCCTTCTAGTCGCAAGCAGTGGTCCGGAGAAAACATGCAGGGCCTCTTTTAAAAATTTGTCAGTGGAGGGGCCATCAAGAGAAAAAGATCCAACTAGGAGGTGGTGAATGGGAAGAGTGGGAACTTTGTCTGGCCCTGTATTTTTAATTGTCTGGGGCTTCATTTTCGGCATTTTAAGACACAATTATTTATATATTTTATCCGCTAGACAAAGATTTGGTCATGGGAATACTAAAATACTCTTCTTAACTAAGTTATTCTTCCCTTTTTTGCTTATATTTTAGACACAAGGGATCTTCACTGGGAGGGGGGGGACATCGTTCACTGGAGGGGCCAAAACAGGGAATGGAGGGCCAAGTCCCATCCCCCCAGTCTATGGTATTAAAAGTAGTCCTGGTAGAAAAAGGTAGAAGTACAAATAAAGAGGACATCATTGCTGTATAATAAAAATAGAAAAGATTTTATATAACATACTTGGTTCTGCTGTTGTCACTGTTACAGACGAAGATGTTCCTGTTGTTATATGTGATGATTTAGGTTGGCTGGAGGTTGGGGTTGATTCGGTTGATACAGAGACCTTTGTTATTACAGACAAAGTTGTTTTTGATGTTGTCATGTGTGTAGATGTAGGTGGTTGGCTGGAGGTTGCTGTTGACTCAGTTGATACAGAGAACTTTGCTGGCTCAGAAACAGCGTCTAGACAAAAGTGAAGCATTTATGTAGTTATGTATACGTATAATTAAATAGAAAAGACAATACGTACGTTGGATAATACCTGTCATGTAAGCACCAATGCAACTTAGCAGGCAACGGAACCTGCATGTAATTATATGCAAAGCTTGTATAATTTGGATGTTACTGATAACTCGAAATCTAACTTTTCTATATCAGTTACCTGTAGACCATGTTCCAAGAACCTTTGCTTGTATGCATTTTGTTTGGCGAGATTGGTAAGCCTCTACCCCTGGATTTTTACCTCGCAGTTGAGATTGAAAGTAATTATCCTCCCTTGCAAATTTGGAACTGATTTCTTCCACTAGAAAAGAAAAAAACAAATTATAATTTTACACATAGCTACAGAGAAACATGAACAATTTACTTACTTACTTTGAAATACATGTCATTGTTTGAGACGTTCAAATCAACGTAAGATTGATCCAACCATTGCAGCTTCATTTCTCTGGCGTTGTCTGGAAACTTTGCCAAAGGCTTCCGTCAAGGTACAACTCTTCATCAATAGCTTTTGATTATCAATGTCACTGAATTTTGTGGCTGTTTCCTTCTGGTCGTAGGGTATAAATTGAAAAGGGCCTAATAGGCAATTCTCGGTTCCTCCTAATATAAATAGAGTTAAAAATGAAGATTGATTTTTTGAGCAGGATGAACCAAAGAAATTTTGCAACATTGCCAAGTAGCTCCCTCGTGCCATTTCAATTGAAACATTTAATGGCACACAAGGTTATGAAACAAATGTAAATGTTCAGCCGTAATGTTGAAATAAACTACGTGTATAAGCACTCACCAGCTCCAGCGCGGATACTCTCACTGTTTAGACAGCCATAATCTTTATCATCCCCAGCTCTTTTACGAGGATTTCGAAAATTAGGTTCATGATCAACACTGCACAGACACGAGCCATCAAACTGACATGTTACAAACAGTTGCATCATTCTTACAACCATCTTTCCCAACACGGAAGCTGTCTCTAACATTTCGATTCACCAAAACCACTTCACAGCCAGCCAAAACCATTTTGCATGACAAATAAACAACCCACGCTAACATCACTGTGTATTTTAAAGACATATTTATCAAATAGTAGTGATCCCTTGGAAAATAAACACGAATTTTAATAGTATTTCTTACAAAATACCGCAAATTGAGGCTGACATTTTGTGTATATTAAGAGAATCATGAGCATTTGTCGTCCTGTTTGAATTTATAAACACTCAGTTTTTGAAAGTGAAATAGCATGATATTACGTTTATAGATCAAAACCTGATGGCAAAAAACTTTCGAAATAAAATCGGATTCAACGTTTTGAGAGGATTTATAATCTTCATATAATGAATTGAATATGGCAAATTTGTAAAACATATAACTGGCTATAACTGCATAAATATGTCTTCGTGTAATAAACGTTTGTTCGCAAGGCTTTTAAGAGTGCATTTTCGACGTGCTTTGATCAAAGATTAAATGATTTTCTCCAGTCCACTAAAAACGTTAAGACAAGTAAAAAAAAACAAATTTTATATACAAAATTTCGTGCTATTTTCTTTTTATTGTATTGAAACTTATATTGACATATTGACTGTTGACATTGCTTTTTGTTTTCAATATTTGAGTGAGT